GCCCCAGGTCCCCACCTCTGGAGTCAGAAAAAGAGGGGGAGGGAAGTGGTTTGAGTTGCGTTTTACCTTTTCTGTGCAAGATTCTGGGTCGCACAGCCCTTGCGCACCTGATGAGCTTACAACCAGCCTCCTTCACTCTTAGATTTATATTGTGTTCAGCTGGTGGCTCCGATCAGGATTTGCGGGGAAAAAACAACCCACCACCCCAAACTCTAGGCTACACATAAGAGTCTCGCTGTTTTATCTGCCCATCCAGTACATTTAAATAGAGCCGAGAATGTCAGCACCCCTGGAGCCCAGGTAACGGGCCTGGCAGCAACCCAGCGCAGAGGTAAAACCCCAGCCTGCGGCTCACCTTGCAGCACCAACAGACATGAAGTAACTTCATTCAGGAGTCAACCTTTATTTTGGTGTTTTCCTTAATACTTGTTTTTCCACAGAAAAGTATTCTCTACCTGTGAGTAAAAGTAGTATATGTAGACACCTGCTGTACCTAGAGGACTTAGTTATAGAGCCTGTTCAAAAAAAACAATTATGAGGGTTTAGGGTCTTTGGGGGTTTTTTTTGTTTGTTTTTAACAACTGAGGAGGTACAAGCCTAGCAGAAAAAAACCCCACAAGTTAATATTCTTTGAGAAGTATATATATTTGGGAGTATATTTTCATATATTTGGGAGTATATTTTCATATATTTGGGAGTTACAAATAGCTACATTTGCTAAGAATAAAGTGGAATTTCCGTAAGGAATAAGATTATTCCGCTAAGAGAAGCTATACTAAAGTAGCAGATCCCGTTCCTGGATAAGCTCTTCTTACTCTGTTTCGCTTTTCACTCCTTCTGCCCCAGCAGGACGTGCAGTGCCTGTCACATTCGCCACGGGAGGGATAAAGCTTCAGCAAGTTTATTTGCGTGTGTACAAATGCTTGTGAAACAGTCACGCTAGTCCCAGGAAGTCAAAGGACGCTTGAGACAGCCATAGTCTTGGTTCAGAACTGGGGGCACAAAAAGAACTCTAGAGACCCAAGTGCAACAGTTCTTTTAATTATTACCTACTGCAACAATATGAAGCAACAAAAACTAAGAGGCAGGAAAAAAAACAAGGCAAGCTTAGTGTAGCAGAACAGTAAGTCAAACAAAAATATTTCACTTTCACAAGTTTAATCTCAAGATCCTTCCAATTTCCACCAAGGTTGAACTAAAATATATACTCCAAGTGAACAAAAAAGCTGACCTTGCAGTTTCAATAAGCAAATGTCTGCTGTGCTCTGTTAGGTATCAATTAGGTACCAATTACATTTTATATAAATGCCGTAAATCTGTTAGTAGCTTGATTCAGTACTTTTGTCATATCCCAGGAATGGGACATTTCTGTTATCACATAAAAAAACTTAGTGGGGCAGAAATCCTGACAATGCAGCTACAGACAAAAATGGTTTAGTAAGATTTACTACAAAACAATATTATACAGTGTAAGTGCAAATAAGAAACTGTGCACATTTAAGCATTTACTGATTTTAGAGAACTATCTACATGCAGTCCAGAGTAAGATTTAGCCTTTAATGAAACTGAAGCCAAGCGTATGAAGAACAATTTTCAGTCTAACTGCAGACCAAAAATTAAGTTGAAAGAAGACTAAACAAGGCAAGATACAGCTTTCTAAGTAAAATTAATGGTAGCAAAGTCCAAGTGAGCTTTACAACTACAGTAATTTCAAATGTAAGTTTGCAGAACAGACTCGCAATGCAATGGACATTCCATGTTACATGCATTCAACAGCCAAGCAAAGCAGCTTAGCAGCATGCGGTGGCGTAAGACAAAAACAGAACAGAAAATTTAGCTTGCAGCTTTGAAACCTTTCAAGTTACATACTTATTCCACAATTACAGGTATGTAAACAGCAGAATTTCTACAAAGTGATTCTTATTTTCAAGCTGATGAATATACTTACTCTTCCAAAAAAAAGGAACAGCAGTGACCTGGTTGGTATACGTAAGAATGAAAAGGGACATGTCAGAAACTTAATGTTCCAACAGTTTTTTCATTTCAGTGAATCCATCTGGATTTCCATAGTTGTTTAAAAGGAAGCGTAGGATCTGTTCGTGCTTTTTAAGCTGTGGCATAAGCAGAAAGAAAGCTTTGAAACATTACAGGAATATGCCATACCTGTAAGAAACACTACATTTTTTTACAAAAGAAAAAAAATATTCTGGTAACTGGCAAACACTGTTACCAATTCCAGTATTCTGCTGAACTCAGATTTTCAGCCCTAGCTCCATGACTGAAACTGTAGTACATCCTAATATTAATCTCTGCTACCTGAAATACACCTTGTAATATTTTTTTTACATGAGTAGCTATCTGCTAAGTTGTAACTACAGCAAAACAGAGCCATACTACTGAAAAAAAATCCAGCTGTCATTTGTCCACATGACACAGTTTATGCAAAACAATACAATTCCCTGTACGCCACAGACAAACAATAACACTCCTGAGCCTTCACACTCCAGGAAGAACGAAAAATAGACTGTGTGTGTGGCAAAACACAGACTAATTAAGTCTGATCTATACACTACCCTCCCTCAGTTTTGGGTTGCTCTGATTATTACCACATAAAAAATTAACCAAGTATTAGGATATTCACTTTACATATCATCAATGTTTCAGTTAGCCATTATTTCCCTACTCTTGTTTACTTCCCATAGAGGGTTTTTCTTTTAAATTCTAGAATTGTAAAAAAGTGAGTATTGCTTGGACTGAATCTTACTTGCATTTTCAATTCTGTGCAGCAGCATTTGGTCTCGCCCCCATCACCTACAAAAAACAAAGCAAGTGAATAAGTAAAACACATGGACACAGCTTCCCAAATTTAAGAGGAGACGTGTGGAATCCTTTAAGACTTTTACAAGGAAATATCACGTAGGCACCCCATGTGCCCACAGTTCTTCAGATTAAGTTATCTGATGAAATTAAGTGAAAGCATGTACCGTGATGTTTAGTAGGTAAGTTTTCAGCGCTGCAAGATTTGACCAAATCTTCCATTACCAGTTTGTCAGCTACATTCAGACTGCCATTTTCACCAGGTTTCTCCACTGTTACTAAATTAACATTTCCATTAGTCCCTTTCCCTGTAACTGTAACGCATTTATTCAATAACATTTCTTTCAGCTTGTCAAGTAATAATGGAGACCACTCAGCTTTCTCTATTCCTGCAAAAAAACCCAACAAACCACAATCAAGTTTGTTCCACAGAGAATATCTTTATTACTTTAATCTTACATGTAATGCTATCAATGTTTTTGAAAATATGATGTTAAATTTTCCTATAATAAACAGCTCAGATTGTACAGATGGTTAATTATCTAAACTAGAGATGGATCGATTAAAACTGGAGATGGATCAATTCAGACTGGACATTAGGAAGAAATTCTTCCCCATGAGGGTGGTGAGACACTGGCACAGGTTGCCCAGAGAGGGGGTGGAAGCCTCATCCCTGGGGGTTTTTCAGGCCAGGCTGGATGGGGCTCTGAGCAGCCTGATCTAGTGGGGGATGTCCCTGCCCGTGGCAGGGGGGTTGGAACTGGATGGTCTTTACGGTCCCTTCCAACCCTGACAATTCTATGATTCTAACTAAAACCATACTTTCTAAAACAGCTTTCACAGTATTAACCAGTACACTATTTTCAGCAGATCATCACGTTGTTTCTCAGTATTAAGGAACAAGAACTATCATCAGAAGAGGTACAAACTTATAATGTCTAAGAAAAACAGTCCATTTCTTGGGGGTGGGTTTTTTTGTGGTTTTGGAGTTTGTTTTTGTTTTTTTTTTACCTGCAAGTGAACATATAATTGTCTGAAAAGGCAGCTCTAGGTAGGAATCGGAGATTGGCAGCACCTTTGAAAGTGGTAAAGTTTCTGTGTTCCCATAGTCCATGTACAGCACTTTCACTGCAGACTGAGAAGTGCTTAGAACAAGAGCTCTGTACCAATGGCCATCACCTGAAAAGATTGGGACAGAAAAATCACACGTGAACTATCATCTTAACACAGCTTATCCTGGGTACATTTTTCCAGAAATTTTTAAGTACTCTGATATATACAAAAGGCTACTTGACAAGAAGCAAGCCCATAGAACAAAGGAATAGTTTATGATTGCTCCATTCATAAAGACGTATTGCTTTCAGAATTTTGCTCAGAGATTTTTACTAAAACAGTGTTTTAAGGACGTCTGCACACTGTATTTCTAGCTCCTTACTTCTGTTTTCCAATGCATATTGACTCTCAAAAGATAACCAAAATTAAAATGGAAAAAAGTAATAACGCTCTTTTCACAATTATCCTGAAAAGGCATAAAAAATAACAAAAAATAAATGAAAGACCCAGTGTAAGTTAAAAACAACTGTCAAACACGTAGGTATACTCTTGTCTCCCTAGTATTTTTTTAAGTGATGTATCCTGTTTTCCATGAGCTGTTACCTGGCATAGCACCCAAGTTCATTTTCAGCACTTAGCGAGATCTCCTGTAACAATCCCCATGCAGTCATCGTTTAATATTTATGAGTCAGCACTGCTGGTTTTTTTTAAAAAAAATTGAGCTAATGTATCAGCAGAGCATCCACTCTTCTGGAAGTCTCAGACAATAAAATTCTCTCACCATTAAGAATACTTTTGATTTGAACTAACAGTTCATCAACCCTGGGCAGCTTATTAGTTGTCATACCAGTGGCACCGCCTCAAGCTCACAGAAAGCAACACTAACAGAAATACTAAAAGAAATACAGCTTGTTCCAGTGCTCCACGCATTCGGCAAGTCACAACCTAGTCCTTCCTTGCTCTACTGAGACTGTCAGATCATTTCTTTGCCTTGCAGATGCAGCCAGGCCATCCTTTCTAACAGAACTAAGAGATCTGTGAGCAGGTTAAACTTGGCAGTTTTCCCTTTTATAATGCAAAATCAGAAGTTATGTTTAAAAACCAGCAAGGAAATAAGAACAAACAATTGCCTCACCTGAAAACCTGGCACAACAGGCTTCACCTAGTTTTGGTTTGAAGGACTGGGTCTTACAAGATTGGCAATACTGCTGCAGTTCCTTCACCTGTCTATGTAGCTTCTCTTGATCTACAGACATATGGAAGAAAATAATTAACCACAGGTGGGTATAATGAAAAGCATACTTACTTTTAAGATCCCTTACTCCCACCTTTGGCATTTTTTTTTGTATTTTTCTGCTGTCCAAGCTACATTTCTACATGGCATTCATTTTACTAATTACCTTTAAGAACAGCAAACATTTTTCTCACCTTTAGTTTGCACTGGTACAGCATAGAACAGGTCTGGGCTTACAACTTCGGTTACACAGACAGATACTCTTTCACCTGTGGCCAATTCAACTGATTTCCAGTGCCCAGGTGAGGTTTCTAATAGAAATAGAAATAGTAAGAAAACACAGTGTTCCACTTTCCTTCAAGCACATACACGCTGTAAGTAACTGCTACAGAGCATCTTTTTGAATTTTAGAGGCTACCGCATGTCTTGACTTCAGGGAAAGAAATCTAATCCAAGTTAATTCTTGCTTAATTGGCCATTCATGAACTATTAGAATGTAAAAGTAGCTAAATTAAAAAACACCTCAGAAAGATAAGATATTGGAAAGTAAACATGGGAAAAGTTTCAGCTGCAGCACATTTGTAATTCTTAACTACCAAATATTCACCCAACGATTTTTATTTTTCTCTTTTTGTCTATAATGCCACCTGCTGGGCAGCTTGTGTTTAACTGTAAAAACTAGCAATCAAAACTATGCATGTTTATTACTGATATTAACTATAGTTAAACAGCAAAATCATTGTTAAAGGCTGCAATACCGAAAATTCTTATCCAATCTGAAAGATAATATTGGTTTATTACCTTTTCTGACAAACTTTTCCAGCTTTTTGTCAGATTTGTTTGGGAAATTATTTTTATCTTGTAGAACTTCTTTTACAGCTAATTTTTCAGAAGTTAATATCTCATTGATCACTTTTGGATGACCTGTGGAATTGTCAATAAGCTCTACACCTGCCCCATCTCTGGAAAGGGAAGTTACTGTGGCTTGAAGCTTTACCCCTGCAGTGTACATATGAAATCTTGCTGTAGCTTCTGGAATCCATTTGCTGCTACTAGGCTTGATACCTAGGAAGCAGGGAAACTGTTCAACATACCTCCATTAAAGTGACTTCCTTCAATGTTACATTTTCCTTAAAAAAAAGACAAAACCCCAAAAAAACATTTTTTTTTTTCATTTTTAAAGTACAACTCATGATACCAAGGCTACTTTTTAACCTTAGGGATACACATTGTACTTCATCCTGTCAACTAGTCTTCCTCTTCCTCCCATCTTCTAAACCAACCCATTTCCTCAGGACACCCAAGTTTTGTTTTCTACATTTTATAATATTCTACCAAGCAAAAGCTTGGTGCCTTAGAAAAAACAAACACTGCTAAGATTGTTTTTGAATCAGTTGAATACAAGCTTTTTATCAACGGAGGAGAAAAATAAAGTGTTTTAGGAGACACAAAAATCCCAGCAGAAGGCACCTTGACATAATGTCATGTTGAGTTTCTTGTTTCCACATTTTTTTTTAAACCAAGTAAACTACAGTAGAAAGAAAGAATAACTCTGTAGAATTTTGAGTCATTTTGTGTAGAGAAGAAAGAGGCAAAAAATTGGTAGAAGACTGAGAAACAGCAGTACAGTGCCAAACTCTGCAGGAATCACATGAAACATCCCTACAGAGAACTGAAAGGCCAACGTGCTTCAGCAAAACAGATGAAGTCCTTTGCAAAACTTTTGAGAAATAATTAAGTTGCACAAAAGCACATCTACTCCTAGCAAGGCAGCAACCAGAAGCTAGTAAGCACTAGAGATGAAGAGGAATTAAACAACAAATTCTCATGGACTGGTAAAATCAGGAAGGAACCTCTGTGTAGCTCGCTCCACAAGTGGTCAGCAGCTCAGGAAAAAGCTACCACCTTTCCGTTACGTGCCAGTCTGCTGGGTCAAGGCTAAAACAGTGGCTCCCACAATTCCCAGAGGCTGGAAGCACCACAAATATTTATTATAAACACAAAAAATTAACACACCCCTCCCCCTCCAACCCCTGCCCCCCTAAAACAGTTCTGTGAATTACACCCATCATCACCTGCTTTCCCCAAAGCAGGAAGTTTCTAAATGTAAAGAGCTCTTAAAAGAGAAAGAATCCATAAGAAGATTTACCTGAGAGCCAGCATTTAATTCCTTGAAATGGAAGTGTTAGGAATGAGGATGAGATCTGCCGTATTTTATCCAGTGGTACTTCCTCAATGTTTCCATAGTCCACAAAGTGTACTTTAACAGTTTTACCTGAAGTAACGTTTTGCACCAAAGCACGGTACCAGTTACCATCACCTAATTTAATAATAATAAAAAAAATATTCATATATTTAGTAAGTTTACCAGCATGTGTTTTTTAGTAGACACATCCAATTCTTTGCTATCCTTTGCCAATGCAAACTATCAACTTTCTGGTTTTTTTCTTCTCTGTTGTATGTTCACTCTGTAAAGACGAAAATATTTTAGTCTTACCAGAGAAAAAAGCACAGCAAGGTTCTCCATTCTTAGGCTTAAAAACATTTGGTGGAGTTTTCTGACAGTATTCAGACAACGATTTGTTAAGTAACTTTAGAGCAAACAACTCTGAAAATTAGAGAGGGAAAAAAAAAGAAAAAAAATCAATGAAATAAGATGACTTGAACTTTTATATTAATACTATTTGCTGTATAGCTTACTTATAAAAGACTTGATGGGAGATTTCTGTGTGTGTTAGAGTTTCACAAAGAATAAGAACTGTTGACATGGAGACAATTATTTAACTTAATAGATAATCTTATTAGCAGGAAGAGATAAGACAGCTGATATTTACTGACAAATTAGTTCAATATGATGACAAAACGACTAGTAGTTCTTGCTAACGCAGCAAGCACCCTTCACTCCAAAATCTGAAATAGTTTTACAGCCAGATACCACCCCATGGGAATTACTACGTCATATGCATGTGACAGATTATGGGATCTCACTCTGCTTGCTTATTTTTTATTTTTTATTTTTTTTCATCAAGCCCTTTAGCCTGCTCTATAATATTGCTTTTAAGGAGGAATTCAGTCATGTTCTAAAGGCAGTAAGCCACAAAGAATCTATACTATCCCTAGGTAGGTAATAAACTTCCCTCACTTTTTAAGATCTGCCCCACATTTTTGGTTTGAATGCATTCTGCTTCTACTTCCAGCCACTGAATTTCATCATGCTCTCTCTCTTGCAGGTTAAAAAGCCAGTGGCAAAAGAAGTCTTTATACATTGAAATAGGGCACCAAGATTTTTTTCCTTTTTTTAGCTTATCCAAGAGGAAGTCAAGTCTCAAAAGGTGCATTTTCTTATGTTCCTGTTATTTTATCTCTTTTGAATCTTGTAAGTTTTTATAAATTAAAACAGGATAGAGTACTAGAGGAGAGCTCCAGTAAACACTGTATGAGCACAGGGAATATGTCTTATTTGCTGTATTTTATTTAGGTATCCTTTACCTAGGTTTATGGTAGCTCTTTTCTCTGCATTCTTTGATTAAGCTTTATTCATTGCTTGCCTTCAACATTTTCAGATTTCAACCTCAGTGTCACTACATACCATCATCCAATTTCTTCTTATATTCTTAGATTAAAAAAAAAGACCTCAGAGGTAAGCCTTGGTGCTATAAACTCACTTAAAACTGTAATGCATTAGAAGTGCAATAAGTAACAACTCAGGAAGCAAAGAAACTAGGAGAAAGAAAAAAGCTGAATAAACTTACCACTGTTATTTGAAATCTGACAGTAGAACTCTCCAGGACTGTACAGCGTACACACTATGACATCTACTGTTTGCTTAAGAGTTAATTGACTCCACTTGCAAATTCTTTTGTTCATTGTGTCCTCTAGAGAGAAGCAGAGGAAGGAAAAGAAATTAAAATAATGTTTACAGGAAAAAAAATTATTCATCCTGAATGCTCATTCATGTCCTCAAGTTTCTCATTACAAATAACTCAACCAGCTAATTACCAGTGAGAGCCTCTCTACAGAATAAGAGCAAGAGAAATGTGCCAGTTGCTTAATGTGTGTGATCGCCAGTGAGAAGGGCAAGCCAATGATGAAGTGGGAAGAGTAATTACACAGAGGTACAGACCAGGTGGCAATAACCTGAGCAAGAGGGACTCTGGGGAACTCTGCTTCCTGGGAAACAGGGTAGGGAGCATAGAAGAGAGAAACAGCTGTCACCAAGAGTACTGGACATAGTCTAAGAAGGAGAAAGAACAAAAAGATTAACAGAAAGACTGCTCGCAGAAATTTGCACTGTACGTTATACCTAAGTACCTGAAATAAGCTTATTATTTAATATAAGTTGTATAACAGATCACATGAAAACTAAATTGTGACAAAAGGAAGAAGTCATTGTTTCCTCTATTTGCATACTACTAAACCTTCCTGTATTCCTTTCAAACAAATTTTCAAGGACTAAGTATGTGGGTTTAAGTGTAAAACATACAACGATGAAGACGAAATACTATTTGAGCTGAAGGACGAGAGCATAAGAACACACAGGTACTAACTAGTCATATCCTACTTCAGCTGGAAATTTTAAGACTTCTGACCAGAGGAAGTGAAATACGAGTATGGTCTTCCAAAAGTGGGCAATTGCAACTGCATGCATACATAAACACACACACATAAGGATGACAACACAAGTGAACACACAATTTCTTCATGGCAAAGTTGTCACAACTAAACTTCAGAGCTGTACAGGCAAGACTTCATGAGCCAGACTGGAAAGTTCTTATCAGTTAAGACCTTGCATTCTTTGTACCCACCCCAAGAGATTAAATAACGCCAGTTC